AGATGTTCTGCATAGTGTTAGTTATGTCAGAAGTTAAGAGAATTTGAATATGAAATAACTAAAATTCAGGACTGCTACATTCATCAGCAAGACATATATATAATGCCTTTTGTATGATACACACCATATTTCTCAAAAATAACACACTTGACCCTCAAGATAAGAAATAACTCAAATGAGACATGAAAGTGACAAATCAGGTCATCTGGTGACCTCACTATTCAACACGAGACCTAAAAGTTAAAGATTTGCAGAGTTTTCTGGCTCAAATATTTAAATATGTTTATCATCATTAATTTGGTCTCATTACTTTATTCCTTTCTGTTTTGATTGACAGATAAATTTAACTTACATCTCAATAAAGTTTTCTAAAATTAAACTGGATTATGAAGCCTCTCATAATTACCTGTCAGAAAGTTTTTCTACAGCTAAACAAATTTTTAAAACAACCCAATTTTTCAATAAACTGAATGAAAAACAGAAGAGCAGTAAGATGGGTAATGGTTAGATCAGCTAGCAGAGAACGAGTACTATCAGGGCTGAGTATTACCAAGATCAAGCAAATTAATGTCTAATAAAGCAACTTACTATTTACATTTTTGCCATGGCCAGCATCTGGAGGCTCTTTACAACAAATAAACCAAAAACAACATTTATTTTAAAAAGCATTTAAAAATAAATCCCCCTGTCAATCAATGGGCTTGGAAATGTCAAATGGATGGGTAATTACTTAACAATTAAAACTTTAAAAAGGAAAGATTATTCAATAAATCTGAAAAAGGAGGTTTAATGCCACTAGAAGGGATAGCTCTATTTTTCTGCTCAAGTTACTCAGCATTACTCAATTTTCTGCAAAATACATAGAAAAATGTGCTATGTTTATGATCCCTGATTTACGAATTGCATTCACAAGTGATAGAAGTACTCTGTCTCTGGAAATTCAGGCTTAGAAAAATTTGGGGGCTATAGCTAGAACACATAATGTCTCTCACAAGCTTCTGCTTTACTCAATTATTCAGACACCAGCACTCAACTGCAGAAATGAGCCAGGAAAGGTAAGTAGACAGTAGAGCAAAGAATGAACAAACTTCAATTCACAGACATCTCTTGATAGTCACAGAAGTTTCATCTCTATCCAAGTTTCTCACTACAAATTAACCTATTTAATGCCAAAATCTTAAGTACTAATTATTATTTGACCAGGCTAAAAGAAAAAAAGGGGACTACAGAAATAACATCTATCCCCCATTTTTACATAGTTCTAATCTTCCTGAAAGACTTACATTTGTTTTATATAAACCATCTCAGTTCTCATGGGAGGTAGATAAAGAGTCAGGTTTCTGGAGGAGAAATAAGCACAAAGGGATTAAGTATCTTGTCCAGCAAGCACCACTGAAAGTAAAACCAGACCCAATTATTTAGCCTACAAAGTCTAAATAAACTTCCTTCCTTGGTTCATAAACTTAGCATAATATTTTAAAGTGCCTACAAACTATCCCAAACCATAGGACTTCACAGAACAATATATATGATCAGGACACTATGGCAGAATTGAGTATTCTGAAGAAGACAGTACTGCTTGCCTCAAATCATTAAAATGAACTACCACAATGGACTTAAAAATACAAGAGGAAACAATAGCCATATTGGAAATATTTTTCAAAGGTTACTCTATTCATCTTCTATCCTACTTCTCAAATTCTCTTCCAGGGAGTGAAAGGGGTCAGACCAGAGATGCTCCTTATAATTATATTCTTTACATATATCAAATGTCAAAATATTAAGCGTTTCAATGGAAGGCATATTATACTCTAAAAGCCTTTCCCTCCAAAAATAAAATCTTATAGCAATGCCTTCAGAGCATTATTTTGCTGCCTTCATAATACACTTCAAATTTGGGTTTCAAAAATGATTAGGTTCCAGTTTATTTTTTATTTATGTTTACAGATTCAGATTACTTAAAATGTGGTGTTCTGCTCAGCCCTCATTATGTTTAGGCAAGATTCCCACTTACACTAGAACTTATTATTTGAACTTACTTATAAATGACTGCGTTAAGATACTTCCTAAATTGACAAAAGAAGAAAATCAACCCAGAAAGCTTCCCAATGTACCAAAGTGGACCTTTTATTTGAAATCATACTAGGTATCACATAGCTCACTATTTGAAGCCCACAAAGTGATAATTGAAATTATTTCTGCAACATGAAATAATATTTTTTTTTGGAAATCTGACAAACTAAATGTTCAACTGTCAAAGGGGAAATCATTTTCTAAGGTTCTAGAAAATCCTGCATACTGAGGCAGTCTCAAGCAGTTTCCTTAATCCTTCCAAGCCTCAAAGAATCTCACACAAGCCACAGAACACTGAATGAGACCTACACTGAAATGTCTGTGCCCAAAACCCTAAAGGTTATATCCTATGTATTTGGCAAGCTGATATCCCTATGTCCACACAACCCCAGAACTCTTTTTTCAATAAAACTAATACTACTCTCCCCAATTCAGATAAAAATACTCCTAAATCCAAAAGCCACCAACTAAATTTTACTTGAACTATTTGGGAGGAAAGGCTGACATCCCACGATCAGGTGTTTATACCCCAAAAGAGAGTTAAAGAGTCAGAAGAACTCCATTCCAGCCACTTCTGGGTGCTAGATGTATTTACTGCCTCTGTCTGCCTCTAGTATGGGACTAGTCAATGTCTGAAAACTGCCCCATTACCCACAAAGCACCAGGGTATCTGAGACACTGCACCAAGGTATCCCTTCCTCCCTCTAATTCACAGCCCTTGAATGTTACTGAGGCGGGGCCTTGCTCTTACAGTATCTTCACAAAGACATCTGCCCTGCACCTGCTGCAATCCTATTTCTATTCACTCTTGGTGTATTCTTCATGACCCTGTATGCCTCTTGGCATATTCTTCATGACTCTATCTGCCCACTCATCAGGCCAATGTGCTGGGATACCCCACTACACACCTGCAAACTTAGGAATGTGTACTTAGCCCTCCCTTATCCATCCCCCATTCACGGGTTCTGGGACTAAAACCAGGCTTCACCATCTCCTTGACCCTAGAAGCATGAACTTTCAGATATGGAACATAACTTACTACCCTCTATATTCCATTAACATCATTCCGTGATCCACACATACACTCTCCAGTTTCTCTAAATCTGGAATCCCCTCCCTTTAGATGTTGTCCCAACTTCTGCATTCTGCCCTTCCTTATACTTCCAGTGACGTAAAAATTTGGGCCCCTTTAATCTCATGACTCAGAGTTTTCCAATCTCTCTGACACCTCAGCACCCTGCTCTTTCCACGCTCTTCTAAGCAACCTGTTTTCCTAACTCTCTCCACCTGCACAGCCATTTTCTGCCCTACACCTGGTTCCCACCACCACCCTGATCCAACAGACATCCTATCCCTTTCTAGCTGCAGGTGGACCCACACACATCCCTCCCTTGCACTTACCCCATTACCCTGGTGTAGGTACTATGCATTCTTCTGCATCCCGTCCCCCAAAATATCCTCTCTCCCCCCCTTCCTGCCCTCTGTTCCCTGCCTTCCGGCTCTTCTCTACCAGAAAAAGTCTAGCACCCCAAACCCTTGCTTCCTCCTTCCCAATGTTGTTCTCCAGACCCGTGTGCCTTCCCTTCCAACCCGTCCCCTACTGCCTCCCTCTGCTGATGTCCCTTCACATGCACACCAGCACCCTCTCCTTCTTTCTCCCCAACTTCCCTCCACCCGTCCGGCTCAGAAACGTTTCCTTCCATCTGCCCCCATGGCTCACCTGCCACTCCAAGAACTCGTCCTTCACCCGGCACCTGGGCCCTCCATCACACACTCCACTCCACTCCACCTGTCCCCCCTCCAATGCCCCCAACTCCAAGGTTCCCTCTTCTGCTCCAGCCCCTTCGTGCATCGTCTCCTGCCACCCGCGAAATGCCCTGCTCACCTCCTGCCCAGACATCTCCTCCCCCCACCCCGCCCCCGACTCCACTGTCCCCACCTCTCCCCCAAACTCCTCAAACTCAGGCCCCGCTCCCTTCCCCTTCCTCCTCCGCCCTCTGCTCGCCTCCCCTGAGCACCGCCGCCAGGTGGATGCCTGTCTGGTCCCCTCGCAGCTTCGCCCCTGGGTCTCGCCTGCACCCCTCGTGGCCAGACCCTGCCCTCACCCCTCCCAGGTCTCCGGAGGCCTCTGGCCTACCTCGCACACCTCCTGCCCAACGCCCTCCATCTCCCTCCTCGTCGCGGAGAGACCTGACCCCCCCACCCCCCGCTTTTCCCACTCGCCCCGGCACACTCCCTCCCCGTTTCTCCCACCTCCGCCCGGGGGTCGTCTCTAGATCTGCCCCCGCCCCTCACCCGCAGCCCAGCCGGCGCTGCTCCCATCCTCCCGGGGATCCCCGTCTCCTCCACTCCCACCACTCGCCCCTGCCCCCTCGGGGCTCCCCTCACTCTCCCGCACCCCTTAGACTGCCCCCACCCGCCTCTGTCCCCCATCCCTCCGCACTCGCCCCGGCCCCGCGGGTGCCCGAACCTGCCCGAAGGCCCCCCTCCACCTACATGCGCCCCCACACCAGCCCGCACCCCCCGCGGCCTCTCCCCCCTCCCCCCCCGGCTCCTGTCCCCAACGTCCTCCAACACCTGCCTCTCGCCCCTCGCCCTCGGTCTTACCCAGACCCCCCGGCGCCGGTCCCCCGCGGTCCACGCCCTCCCCTCGCTGGGGGCCGGCGCCCGTCCCCACCAGGGAGGAGGGCTGCCCGCTGCCCTTGCCGAGCGGCCGGGCACTGCAGCGGCGGCGGCGGCCACAATGCCGGAGCCGCGGGGGCCGGCAGGGCTCTCCGCCCCGGCCGCCGCCGCCGCTGCTAAGGACGCACAACAAACAATGCGGGGCCCGGCCGGCTCCGCCAACCGCCTTAACCGCCGCCTTAACCGCCGCCCGCCCGCCCGGGACGGCCCGCCGCGCAGGCGCCTGCCCCGCCGCCGCAGCCTACCCGCGCCGCCGCGCTCGGCCCGCGCCCGGTGCCCGCTCCCGCTCCGCCGCCGCCGCCACCTCGTCAGCCCGCGTCTCCGGCTTCTCAGCCCAGCGGCGGCGGCTGCTGCCCTGGTGGCGCTCACGGCTCTGGTCTCCGCTCCGGCGGCAGCGGCGGCAAGCACGTGACGCCGCCGAGCGCGCCCATTGGCCGGGCCGGGGGGCGGGCCCCGCGGCTGCTGGGGAACGGAAAGCCCGCCCCCTGCACGCCGCGCGCCCCCTCCACGCGCGCCCTGCCGCACCTGAGAGCGCCGGCCAGCGCCCGCCGCCTGCGCCAACTGCGCACCTGGGGACGCGCAGGGAGCACGCGCGGGTGGCGGCCGCCTGCACCTGTGAGCGGACGCTTACGTAAACTGCGTCCCCGCCTTCCTCCCGCCGCCCGGCCCCCGCCCGCTGCAGCACCTGAGCCCTGCTGCGCTAGCGGCGTAACTGCTGCGGAGCGGGGACCCGCTGCGCAAGGAAGCCAGCGAGATGCACGGAAACTTCGTATCTTCCGAATCTGGGAGCGGCTCTGGGCCGCCGCGATGAACCGGGCTCCAAATCCCCACGTCCCAGAACGGGGTGCCCCCTCCCCCCAACCCCAGCCGCTACGCAAACAGAGTAGTTGCCTCGTGCAGTGCCTCCCCAGGGCGAGAAGAGATCCCAGTCTCCGCACGCCTACACTTACCAGCTGTGTGACCTTGACCAATTACAGAACCACTCTGATCCTCAATATCTTGGTCGGAGAAGCTGGGACAATGATTCCGGTTTAAGAGCTGTTGGAGAGATGGGGAAAGGCAATAGGTGTGAATTCTCCTAGCACATAGTAGGCACTGAACAAAAGTTGTTACAGCTCCGTCAGTAACCACCTCTCCTCCTACCAGAATGGACCCCTCTGGATTGATTTTGGGTCCAGGGCCTCTCTGACCTCTTTATAGTTGGGTCAGACTTTGGCTGAACACTACCCAGGCGGTTCTGGGGAAGATATGAAGATCTGCTTTTTATTTCAGAGAGTCAGCATCTTCTTGGCACCCAGCAGAATATTCTGCCAGCTTGGCCATTACTGAGTGTACCTGCTGTATGCCAGGTGCTGTACTGGGTTCTAGGATGCACAGGCAGAAGAGACAAGTCCTTGCCCTGAAGGAGTTCCCAGACTGGGGCAGAATGACCTGATCACAAAGCGTTGGGAGGGCTGGGGTCCAGGAGTCCCCTCCGAGCCTTTTCCCATCTTTCTAATACACCAGACTCAAACATTTTAACAGCTCTGCTTCATTCACCGGATAAAGTGTAAACATTCTAACAACTCAAAAAGCTTTGATGATCTGGTGTTAAGTTTCAAGGTGCAAGCCTTTCCCTGCGCCCCTCCTTCAGGCCAACTTGACCCTGCAGCCACACTGCACTTCAGAACGGTCCTTGCCGGAGATGCCCAGGTTTGCAACACTTCTGAGCCTCCTGAGCCAGGTGCTGAGCGGCAAATCCCTTTCTGCACGCCCTCCTCATCTCCAACCACCCACACCTTCCCTTAGTCCTCCGGAGAAACTCCTTGCAGTTCTTATCAGTCCACTCAGAACATACTCTCTCAGGAGCTGCATGGAGGCTTCGGACACACTGTCTAACCTCCCTCTGCTTTGCACATGGCCTGTTAAACCACGCGTTCTATGGCACTGCATTGCCATTGTTTAGCTGTCTGTCTCCTCCCTGAACTGTAAGCCCCTTGAGGACAGGGTCATCCCTACTTGAGTGGGTTAGGCAGGACCACACGTGCACGTGAGATGAGATCATTAAAGCTGGGCTTTACAGGAAGAACATGAGTTTGCTAGAGGGAGAAGAGATGCCACGGCATAAAGGTCACTGCACACTACCTGTGGAACCTTGGAAAATCAGTCTAGGTCTTAGTTTACGCATCTATCAAATGAGACTATAACAGAGTACCTCATAGAGTTGTTTCAAAGATTCAATGAAACAATGTATCTCAAACACTCAGTACCGGTGCCTGGCACTTGGTAAATTACAAACATTTTTTAAACAGGAGCACTGCACAGCATTAAGCACTCAGTGGTATCTCTTATTCCAGTATCTTTATTGAGTTTATAACTCTAACATTCCTGACAAAAAAATATGTAAATAATACAAAAGTAAAGAAAACTCGAATTTCAAGTGTGCCTCTCCCTTCCTGCCCCCCACTCAACTCCCTCTACCCCTAATCCCACCTTCCCAGGGAAACTACTGTTAAGTTTTTCATGTCCTACAATGTATGTCCAGAGAAAGAAGAAAAGCTGCAGAAAATTACATATCTATAATGTAATACTTGGATTCTGCATAGAAAACAGTCAGAAAAGAGTAAACACCAATTATTACTATTATGCCCAGAAAGTGGAATTGGGTGTGGGATGGGGGCCTTTAAATACTGCATTGTTTTAATTTTTTAAAGAATACATATAGCCCTAGAGAGTTTTTCTCAGTGGTTAGAGCATCAGCCCAGGGACTGAAGGGTCACAGGTTCGATTCTGGTCAAGGGCACGTACCTCAGTTGCAGGCTCATCCTCGGCCCTGGTTGGTGCTCATGTGGGAGGCAACCAATCGATGTGTCTCTCATATCGATGTTTCTCTCTCTGTCTCTCACCCTTCTTTCCACTCTCTCTAAAAATTAATGGGAAAAATATCCTCAGGTGAGGATTAACAACAACAACAACAAAAAAAACACACATATGTAATAAATTTTAAAATATACATACATATATAAAATAAAATAAAATTCACACTTTTCAAGTGTACAAGTCAAGGACTTTTAGTAACTTTGCCGAGTGAGGCAACATCAATATAAATCAGTTTTAGAACTTTTACAGATTCCCCATAAAATCCCTCACACCTATTTACTATTAATCCCTATTCCCACCTCCAGCCGTAGGCAACCACTAATCTACTCTCTATTTTTGCTTTTTCTGGATATATTAACACACTGCGCACCAGTAGTTTTACCGCTAGCTTTACCCAGTGGCCAGATAAGTTTCTATTGAACGAGTACAAAAAATGTTTTACAAAGTATCATACTTTAAAAAGATATTAGCTTGTAAGAACATGTAATAAATAACTTCAAAATGCAATGGGTATTTCATTTTAAGGCGTGCCTTTAACATTTGTGTAAAACACTGTGTAATATGAAAACACGAGAATGCTCTTGATCTGCCTGCAAAGTGTTAAGTACATTTCCTAAAAAGATCAAATATGTTTTAGAAAAAAAGAATAAACGTACCACCTCCTACTCCCAACAAGCAATAGCAATCACTGTTAATATTTGTGTCTATTGTTCCAAACTTCTCCCATGCATATCAATACAAAACTTGTACAAAGCGAGATTATAGTAACCCCTTCAGTTTTTATTTTTTCAATTAACAATATAAAGTAAATACACCTCTTTTATGTCACTGAATATTCTTTTGTATAGTGTTGTATCTTAAGAATCATTTAATTAAGCCAACTCCCTTTGTTAAATATTTGGGGTTTTTTTCCAGTATTTCCACCCTTATAAACAGGGGAAGGTAATAGATGTTGTAAAATTCTAGAGCTCAGTGAGCTTTGGAATCACACCTAAATTCAAACACCAGCACTTCCTGTTTCATCCATCCATTGCACCAATATTTACTGAGGGCCTGCTATGTACGATTCCCTAGGGATGCAAAAGCAAGCAAACAGCTATACAGCCCTGCCCTCCTGGGGCTGGGGGCCAGTGGGAGAGCTGCACACTAATCAAATAACCTTGAATAGCCTACAGAGGAGGGAGCAGCCAACAGGGGAGGAAAGGCAGGGGTCTGAAGAGGCACTTGGGGAGCATATCCTTGGCTCAGGGCTGAGCCATTCTCACGAAAGGCGCCTTGTAATGGGAGGTGGGTTAGCTCCCCTGCATGAGCGGAGTGCAGCCTTTCACAGCTCCAAGTGCCTTCACACCTTAGCTCATTTGACTCCTCCATCCTCCCCGCCCCCCCACCCGAAGAGAAGGAAATAGCGGACACTGAGGCCCAGGCAGAAAACACCTGTGGCTGGTGTCCGTTGTATCGTAGAGTTGCACGATCCTATTTAAATTTAAATTAATTAAAATTAAATAAAATTCAAAATGCAGTTCCTCAGTGACATTAGGCATGTCTTAAGTGCTCCATAGCTACCACATTGCATGGCGCTGATATAAAACATTACCATCGTTGCAAGAAGTCCTATTGATCAAGCTGCCCTAGAAGAACAATCCTAACAATTAGTGGTAGCAGTAATGATCATTTACTTGTATATTATTTTCCAACGCACTTGCCCTGGGACGTAGAGAATTCAGCATGGTCCCCCTGTTTTTCATTTCCCCATCCTTCCGCCAGCCACAGACCAGCTCTACGGAAAGAAGCTGAAGACAGAGAGGTGGCTAGTCCTGCTGTGGGTGAGGGATGGGACCCAGGGGATGTGACATCCCTCAACTTCCTGCCATCGCGTTAAATCTGCCTGCATCTCCAGCCATTCTCTCTCCCTTATCTCCTTTTACCAAAACCAGCTCCTCTCAACAAAGACCAGGTCCTTTTACTGTGTCCGGGTGCCGGCTTTTCCTCCCCTCTGAGGAACTTCACTCCTCAACCTGCCCCCTCGCTGCTGCTACCACCGTCAGCCTCGCCTTCCCCGCTGGGTTCTTTCCAATATTACCCAGACAGTCTCTTCCATTTCCTAGGAAAAAACGAAGGGAGGGAGGGAGGGAAAGAAGGATGCTATCCAGGGAATCATGTGTACCTCACAGCTGGAGAAGCACTGACCCAGCGTAAACAGCTATAGATGCCGACTGGAGACTCAAATACCATAATGGAGTCGCTGTTGCTGACGTGACTGTCTGACGTGGTGAGTAACACTTGGTCGAGTCTGAACACAACGAGGTGTCATCTCCACTCACTTTGCATGGCACTTGCCTCCCTGGAATATGAAAACCATGCCGGGATACACTTTGTCTTTATATGAAAAATGAACTTAGTTGTTAGGAGCATATAATTGTATATAGGACTTTCACCTACATAAATGTTCAGTGTGACATTCAAAAGTTGTGCAAGAGTGTCCGTGCATTGCTGGCTCCCCCGCCCCATAAGGGTCATGATGCCCACCCAAACTC